GATGGCACCTGACAACAACAACAACATAGGGTTTCCAAAGAGCAGCCAACTTTGTGGTTCAAACCCACCTTGCGTCCAGTGCCTACAGAGCTGGAAATACCACCTCCAGAAGATCAGGGTTAGAGAACCTTTTCTGTCAAAATTTGTATCTTTCGTGGGCCATATGAAATTATCAACTTAAAAATTAGCCTGCCATATTTGGTCACTTAATTAACTCAGCCTTATGTGATAGCTGGAATGATAGTTGCCGTGGCAGAGCTAGACCCAGTGACTTCTCGGTCCTGTTACGGTGCTGTAGTAGAAGCAGTCTACCACAAAGTCGGCAGTTCAAACTCACCAGCTGCTCCTCGAAACCCTATGTTGCTGTGCTGTCGAGTTGGGGTATCGATTCATACATAGCACCCCTTATAGGGTTTCTGAGGACCACCAAACCTTGTCATTCAAACCAATTTAGCAATCCAGCGTATTTACTTGGACCACCACACCAAGACTCCCAGAAACACTATGGCGGGGGGGCTGTGCATCAGAAACAACTTAATGGCACTTAACATCAGTATGGCCCTGGGGCCAGATGTTCCCCACCCTGAACTGATCTAATTGAAGGATATGTTGAGAAACAATAACTTTACATTTTGATAATTTTATAAGTACAGATTTCTATGATTTCATAAATACAGATTTCTATGATTTCATATCTCTCCCCCCGCTGCCTCAAAAAGTATATAATAGTCTGGGAAACTGTAAAGCACAATTCTAATCACAGGTTTTTACACACTCAGTCCTCTCAGGCTATGGGGTTGGTCTGGTTTTTCAGGTGGGCTTTTATCATGAGCCTGGTACAGGGATGATGACCTCTCACTGTATCCCGAGAACGCTAGTGATGGGACTGCTGGGTCCATTTTAGAGGAGGCTGAGGCTGGGTGATTGTGGATAAGAGCTGAAGGCACAGCCAGCTTCTCGAGCCAGTGTGATTCCTGGACAGTTTCACTTTGGAGAGGTTTTGGGGGGCGGTGGACTTGGACACCATCAGGGATTCGTGGCTGCAGTTCCCCCTTCGTTTCTGGTTTCCTTAACAACCGTGCACAGCTGGCTGTGCAGACCAAGCGCGTGGCAGCACAGGTGGACGGTGGGGCGCAGGTGCAGCAGGTACTCAACATCGAGTGCCTGCGGGACTTCCTGGCACCCCCACTGCTGTCGGTGCGCTTCCGGTGAGGCGGCTTCTCCCAGGTGAGGGCGGGCCTTTAATATGTGGAACATGGCCTGATGGTGCCCTTATCCCCCTATTCCCCAGGTATGGGGGCTCTTCCCAGTCCCTCACCCTGAAGCTCCCCGTCACCATCAACAAGTTCTTTCAGCCGACAGAGATGGCCGCCCAGGACTTCTTCCAACGCTGGAAACAGCTGAGCCTGTAAGAGCTGGGGTTGCAGAACTTGGGGGTGCGGAGCTGGGCTGGGGTCCTGGAATGGGCAGGGCTGCCACTGGAAACCGTTCCCGCCTGCAGCCCCCAGCAGGAAGCACAGAAAATCTTCAAAGCCAACCATCCCATGGACGCAGAGGTGACCAAGGCCAAGGTGAGCAGTGCCCCAGCTCTTACATCCCGGAGTTTATTGGGGGGGTAGTGGCTGCTGACCTGTATTTTCCCATTGCTAAAATGGGGCTAATTCCTACTCCCAAGGGCTCTTGGGAACGGGTCCCCCAGTCTGGAGTTTATCCAGGATCTGACTCTGATGGCTCCCCACTAGCTCCTGGGGTTTGGCTCTGCCCTCCTGGACAACGTGGATCCCAATCCTGAGAACTTCGTGGGGGCTGGGATCATCCAGACGAAAGCCCTACAGGTGGGCTGCCTGCTCCGGCTGGAGCCCAACGCCCAAGCCCAGGTGAGTGGTGCTCTGCGGTGCCAGGAAGGGCTTGGGCTCATCCTCTGGGACTTGGGCCTTTTCTGTAATCCACCCCATCCGCTTTCACGCTCCTGCCTGCTCCCGTTTCTCACGGACCCTCTCTGAGCCCCTTCTTGCACCCCTCTGTGTTCTGTTACCTCCAGCTGCTGTCCCCCTTCCTTCTTCCTCGATCCTCGGCTTCCACCTTTTCTGTCTCTCCGTCTTCCCTCAGTTCAGCTCCTTGTCATGGCATCATTTTCACGCTTCTGTCTTTGCTCTTCTTTTCCTCTGGGCTGACTGTCTGCCCCTTGTAACGTACCACCCATCCGCTCTGCCTTGTCCTCATGCCCCCACCTAGATGTACCGGCTGACCCTGCGCACCAGCAAGGAGCCCGTCTCTCGTCACCTCTGTGAGCTGCTGGCCCAGCAGTTCTGAACCTTAGGCTCTGCCCCCCAAGGACTGAGGAGGCCGCTTTGGTGGGTAGGGGACCTCCACTGGTGACAGGGAAGACCCCAGGGTGGGGGGGATGCCTGGGACCTCCCTCTGGCCTTTTGTATTTTTATTTTTGTTCATCTGCTGCTGTTTACATTCTGGGGGGTAAGGGGGAGCCCCCTCCCTCCCTTTCCCCCCCAAGCACAGAGGGGAGAGGGGCCAGGGACCGGGCACCTCCTCCCCTCCCACCCCCACCCCACCCTGTTGTACCCCTCCCCGCCCAGGGGCTGTGTATTATTGTGAGCGAATAAACAGAGAGACGCTAATGGCCCGTGTCCAGTTCAGTCACCCACACCTGGGGTTAGAGCAGCGGGGTGAGGGCATGCAGGGTCTGAGTGGCCAGGCTCCGCAGCCCATGGGTAGGGCTCTGAGGGGACAGCAGTAATAGCAGACGGCGAGGCCCCACCTGCAGAGCTACCAGTCGCCACCCCACGTCCGGCTCCTCAGGCCCCAACACCAGGTAACAGGCTCTGGGCATGTGCACCTGTTGGGCCTTGTCCTCCTGTGACCCTGGCTCTAGGGAAGGACAAGGAGGGCAGAAATGACCAACATGGTCTGGACAACCGGGAGGTCTGAGCAGCTCCACTCACGCAGCCTGTCCCACTGTTTCCTGGGGTTCCTGTATGCAGTCCCAGACTATATGCTTAGGCCTAAGAACAGGAAACATCTACAAGGTACAGATGGAGTAGCAGCTGTCTGCCTTTCTAGGTGGAGTTTTACGTAGCTACGATCACCCGGGCCTTCCCTAGGACTATGTGGTTGTTATGTGCCATGGAGTCAGTTCCGACTCATAGCGACCCTGCACAGGGTTTCCGAAGCTGTTAATCTTTACAGGAGCAGAACGCCTCATCTTTCTCCCGCGGAGCAGCTGGTAGTTTCGCTGTTCGCAGCCCAATTCGTAGCCACCACTCCCTGGGGCTATAGTATCCTTCTATATCTTCTCTTCCTGAGCCCAGTTTCCATTCAATACAGGAGAAGCTGAGGCCTTGGGGGGTCCTACAGCTTCCTAATCTGGACTCCACGTCACTCGCCTACTGAGAAGTAGAGGCAGTGTTTGTGCCTGGAGCAGTGGAATGGAGTTCAGGGTGGACTTGGGAGCCAGATGGGCTTTGTGTTGCCATGCCTCTGCCACTAACTGACCCTCAGTCTCAGCTGGACCATGGGTCCTCACACAGCAGGGACATCATCCTCACTTCTGCGTACCTACAAAAGCACTGGGTCAGGGACTAGCAGGAAGCGAGGCTTCAGTGGTAATGGTAACTATTGGGGCTTCTCAGCAGGTTGTGAAAGCTGCCAGCTCAGAGCTCCCTAATGGTTCTCTGTCACCTCTAAGGAGGCCCAGCATACACTGGCTCCCTGCAGCCCTCACTCTGGAGTCCCAGGCTTTGGGTCCCTGCCCACCACTGACCTGGTGGGAAGTGTGTGGAGGTGACCAGAGTGTAGAATGAGCGGAGGAGGCGCCGCCGTTGCTCCCTGGAAGGTTCTGGAAAAGAGAGGCAGGGTGATTTAAAGACTCCACCCAGGACACACACACACCCTGTGTCCCCCAGACACACACATACCTCTGTCCCCAGAGGGCTCCACGGTCAGCAGGCACCTTCTCAGTTCCAGGTGGAGGAGCAACAGCCTGACGAAAAGGGCGCATCATGGCACAGAAAAGGGATGTGTCGTCCCGCCCCGCCCCGCCCCTGTCCACCCCTGTCCGAGCCCTACCCGAGGATGTCTGCGTGCAGGGGGAAACCAGCAGGCAGGGCTCTGGGGCCCAGTGGCACACAGGCCCGAAGCGACTCCAGTAAAGGCTGCCACCAACGCTCCAGGAGCTGTGGAGGCGAGGCCAGGGGCGTGGTTAGTGAGAAGAGGGGGGTGTAGATGAGAGTGAGGGAGGAGGTCTACCAAAACAAGGCTGGGAAGGGCGGGCATGAAGCTGTGGACTCAACAAGGGGCAAGATGAAAAGAAGGGGCGGGGCGGGGCTGGTAGAGGGCTAGGCTGGAGGCCACGAGGTGGGTGGGGGCCGTGGTAAGATTTCACCTGTGGGTCCAGGTGGCTGAGTGGCGGTCGCGGCCCACAGAGCAGACATAGCTCCAGGCCCGGAAGCAACGTCAAGGTCAGGAGCCTGTGCGGGACCTGAAGCACGGGGCAGGATGAGGTGGGACGGGGCTGGCCAGAGTCATTTTACGCCCTGCCTCCGAGATCTACTTTACCCAAGCCCCGCCCCTTCGCCCATAGCCACGCCCAGGTTCCTCTGGTGCATCCTCCAGCTCGCGCCCGCGAGGCATCTGACCCCCACCGCACCGCACCCCACCCCGCACGTACCGTAGGGCTCCCGTGTGGAAGGTACACCGGGTAGTCTCGAGCGGTCTGCGGCGGCAAAGATCCCAGCAGCCAGGGGAGCAGCACAGCCTCGGGCATCCCTAGTCGCCACCAGCCCTCCGTGGCCACCATCACGCGGCCCGACACCACCAGGCTGACAAAGGCTGTGCTGGTGGCCTCAGCGAAGCCGGACAGAGCTTCCTGCGTAGGGGGAGGGCAAGCTGCAAGTCAGCCGGGTGAGCGAGTCTCGGGAAGACACTCACCATACAATGCTGAGGCTGACAGTCCCTGGCCTCAGTTCCTTCACATGCAAATACAGCCCTATTCACACTGTGCAGTTAGATTAAACCACCACCGTGACCTGTACACACTGAAGCTAAAAGTGACAACAGCATGACAGAACCATCAACCAAGCCACCAATGGAAGCCCGCAAGTCATGCACTGCAAGTCACACTGTGCGGAGATGCCCCCACTGGGGATGCCAACAGGAGCAAGATTTAGGAAAATAGACGGAGACCGGGCCTGGCCTAAGGAGCTACATATGCCAAGGCTGTGGCACTGGAAGGTGATTAGGATTTGTGGGGATTGCAAGGCAAACAGGTGAGGGTAGGTTGTGGATTAGAGATCAGTCCCTAGAAAAGGACATCATGCTTAGGAAAGTGGAGAGTCAGCAAAATATACGACCCCAATGAGATGGACTGACAACAGCAGCTTGTGAGATTGGTACAAGCCCAGGCAGTGTTTTGTTCTGTTGTATCTAAGGGTCATTAGGAGTCAGAATGGATGGCACACCTACCACCACGTGGGTGAGCGGGAAAGAGCCCTCTCTACTCCTGACTGAAAGCTCTACAGATGGAACAGACTAGCCCCTTGGGGGAGAAAGATGTAGCAGTCTGCTGCCAAAGATTCCAGCCTTGGAAACCCTATTAAACTTCTCCTCTGTCTAATAGTGTTGCTATGAGTCAGAGTTGATTCCAAAGCATCAGGTTTTGGTGTCAGGTAAGTGCGTTGGCAAGCATGATTCCACAGATCCTCAAACACCAGGCTGAGAAGGTAGGAGCTTGGTTCTGGGATGTTGAAACTACTGGAGAATGTGAGCAGGAAAGGGACAGGGTTAGCTCTGGGTATGTAGAACACCTGTGGGACAAGTGAATGTTAAATAGACCAAAGCTAAGAGGATGGGAGGAGGCTGGGCAGTGGCCCAAGGAGAAGATGAGGGCTGACTCCGAGCTGGAGGGATGGGTTGGAAGAGTTTCCAGAGCATCCACCACAGTACCTGTAGGAGGGACCCCTCCGGAGGAACCACGCAGTCCACACACTCAGTGAGATCCCCAATGAGCTCAGAGTCCCCCAGGAAGCTGTCAATGAGGCGGTAACTGGCCTAGCAGAGGGAGAAGGAAGTTGCTTAGGACCCCAGTGGTCCTCAGATCTGCTGCTTCCCCAGCCAGCAAAATAGCCTTGCTGGGTTAGACAATCAGAAGTCCCAAGGGCCCATGGGGCCAGCTGCCCCAGGGACTGCTGGGAACTGTAGTTACTGGACAACTGTGCCCAAGTATTCTAACTTCCTTTCCTCCCATGCTGCAGCCTTACCCTCAATTCCTTCTTTAGTCTCTCTATGTTGCGGATATTGGTCAGTTCTTCAAGTCCTACTAGAAGAACCTAGAATAACCAAATAGAGAAGAGGCCTTGAACAACTAGACCTAAAAGAGGAGGAGGAGGTTGGGGTCTGGACTCCTAGGCCTGAGGGAGGAGGGGACTGAAGGGGACCTAGACTTCTGGGTTTGAGAGAAGAGGAGGCCAGGGACCTAGATTCCTGAGTCTGGGACTCTTGGGCCTGAGGACCTGGAATTCTGGGACTGAGGAATGAGAGACTGTCAAGGCCTTTGATTCCTGGCTCCTGGAAGAGGAGAGGGCTGTGAGCTTGGACTCCTAGATTTTGGGTTGCATAGTCTCACCATGGCCCCAAACACCATCTGGAGTAGTCTTTCCAATCTCAGCTCCGAGCTGCCCTCCTCAGATGACATAATGATGAGGGTGATGCTGTGACAAAGGAAGGTGGGAAGAGTGAGTCGTGACCAGGGAGGGACACAACACAGGCAATGCAGTCTCCCCTGGACTCTGGAAAGTCAACTCCATCCTCCCTAGGCCCAACCTGCCCAGTCACACAGAGATAAAAATCCGGGCTCAGATTGTCTGGCTAGAAACACCACTGAAAAACACACATTTGGGGAACTGGAAGGCCCTGTCAGGTTCAAGCCCTGTCCCTCACTCCAATCTTCTGTTGAGGACCTGTCATGAAAGCTTTTCCACACCACGGTCGTGTCCTCGGTCCTCGCAGAGTTCAGCTGTACCTCCAGATTCTGCCCGAACATGTGGACTCCATTGAGGGAGCCTATGACGGAGAACGGGAGCTGGGGAGGGGATTGGGACTTTAGATACAAGCTGTGGGTTCCCAAATCCTAGAATTACAGAAACTAGGCCCCCTGTCCCCTCTTGTCTCTAAATCCTCTAGCCCCTCCTCTCGAATAACAGGAATGTTAGCACCCCACCCGATCCTTGGAACTTCCTCCAGTCCTCCCTGACTCCCTAAGGTTCTGAGTCCAAGCGCTTAACCTCCCTCCAATTTGGGGCATTCAGGAGTCCAGGGCCCCACCTGCTGGCGGGTGGGGATGCCGCCACGGCTACTCCTGCAGAACAGGGGGACCCCGCTGGAAGCCGCAAGGCACAGCAGGTGCATGGTGCCCCCTGCCCCATCCTCCCCCATTTGAAACTCCCCCCACTCCCAGTACTCCTCGAGGTAAAGTTCAGTATCCGCCGTGGAGAATGCCAGTAGTCCCTATAAATTGGCCTGCCGTCCCAAGCCGCCAGAAGATGAGATGGGCGCTAATACGAAGAGAACAGAATTCCCGCCTTCTTTATGCAACTCAAAACAGACCCTTGTTCCATATTCAGACACCTCCCTAAACGCTGTAGATTTCTCTTCCGCCCCAGCCGGAAGTCATGATGCCCCTAACAGTAAAGGCGGCTTACTGCTCTTGCAAAGGCTTCGTAATCTCTCCCGGAAGCGGTTTGGCTCTGTTTAGCCAGAAAAAGGAAAAGCCCAGCTTAAAGGTTATTGCGGTGCCAATGTGTTGATTATCAACCATCCTAAAAGCTACAATAATTTATATTCTCAATTAGAAAACAGCTCTTCCCGGCTTAAAAATGGCTACTGTGGCAACGCATTGCTTAGCAACCGAGTCCAATTTACGGCTGCCGCAAACTCGATGCCCCTCTCAAAGATGGCGGTACAAGATGTTGCCTAGCAACTGACATTTGGTATAATTTCCTTTCTAAAGCAACTTTGCCCTCCTCAAAGATGGCAGCTCTCGGAAGTGCAAACTCCTTTCTTTTGGGGCGAGATTCCTATTACAATATAAGAAAACACATTCCCCCTCTTTCCTTCCATGATGGTTTAATCCAGGAACGTTGCCTAGTAACCCCCTGATGAAATGGCTGTTTTTGTTATTAGAAAATGAAATCTCTACCTTCCAGAATCATAAAAACAATGGATAATCATTGTAATAAACCTATACATGTAGGTTATTATGTAGCATGTGAAAATGTCCAACAAGTCCTTTTCCTAAAATAAAACAATTTCAACACAAAAGTCATACATGTTTTTGCAATTATGATCATTGTACAAAGTTGCTTGTAAACTTACTTTCATCGATGACTATAAATCTACTATGCCTTTTCTTAGGATTTGTCATCTATTTTATGACTGTAGCAAAATCAATTTATCCAAATTAGTCTTTAGTAAATTTTCAGGAGTAATCAATTTAATCAGCTAAATAGTGTGTATATGTATGTGGGTTGGGGGGTGAGAACAGTTGCTTTCACTCACTCAACATAAAATATAGTAAAATTGTAACACTGTAATCTATTAACATTCTAACATCTTTTTGTAAGGCCCATCAAGTCAGTTCTAACTCATAGCAACCTTATGCACAACAGAATGAAACACTGCCTTGTCTGGCCCAGTTCTCATAATTGTTACATTTCAGCCCATTAATGGTGATAATGTGTCAGCTCACTACAGGGGATCTTCCTCTTTTTCACTGACCCACCACTTTACCAAGCATGAAATCCTTGATCCAGGGACTATTCCCTTATGATAAAATAACTTATACTTCAAATATGTTCTCCATCACCCAGTTATGTGCCATGGAGTGGACTCATAGTGACCTTATACAGAGTTTCCAAGGCTTAAGTCTTTAAGGGAGCAGAAAGCCTCCTCTTTCTCCCGTGGAACAGCTGGTAGTTTTGAACTGCTGACCCTGAGGTTAACAGCCCAATTTGTAACCACTACTAAGCCAGCCAGTAGGAGAAATTAAAGGAACATAGCCTGTTGTAACTGGGGTCAATAAGTTAGATACTTGTTAATAGTGAATTGGCAAAAGTTATGCGATAGGGGAACAAACAAGATGGCAGATCGGATGGACGGATAGCAGAGCGCTCCACCACCAACAACACAGAATACCCGACCAAGCAGGCTCAGGGGATGGTCCCAGAACTCTGAACCACATATAAAGGAATACTTAGAAGGTTGGAAGGCTCACAGCTGGGGGAATTTG